TATATATATATATATATATATTGTTTTATTTTTCTCATTTTATAGGAAAAATACTGTTGATTTCTGCAGAGAAAATTTTTGATGTGGGCCCCATATAGAAAATAGGCTTTCTTTAGTTTCAATATGTTTTGTGACATCAAATTATTGTTGAAGAGATCGTAGACTTCTAAACTCAATCAGTTGTGGTGGGATGGTATCCATGTGACCAAAGTAGTTAAAATCAAGATTTTATGTAAAATTGTAAAGGGAATAAAAATTTGTAAAGCATAAAATCGTAACATAAAAAAATCATAAAAATATAAAATTATAATGATAAATCGAGATTTTAACTACTATGCTTGTGATAGTGCAAAATTAACCATAGCATATGATTTTTATTTTCCAAAAAAGAAAGAAACATATGATTTTTTATAGTCGAGAAGCACGTTTACCTCATAAACTCATCAATCTAAAAGGTAGCCAAAGTAGCTACATAAGGTAACGACATGAGCAAAACAACAAAATGTGTCAGTCAAATAGCCAAAGCAGCTATACAATGTAGCGACTTTGGCAAAAATAAAAAAATAGACCAAAGTAGCTACACCAGTACACCATATAACGACTTTGGTTAAATAGCTGACCAGGTTTCTACAGCCGGTATAAACGTACCACGTATCTAGAATATAGTTGCTATATTACCTACGATACCACTGCAGTAACAATTTGGAAAAAAAAAAATTGAATCCATGGCATTCAGGTGTTTTTTATAGCAAAATGTGGCACAAAAGTCAATACCCCAAATATTGTTCACGTCTTTAATAAAATTGGCATATTTTGAGAGCTAAGATTTGAAATGCGTATTAAGTTACATTCAGTTCCAAAAATTTTCCATTACTTATTGTGGTTGATTTAATTTTAATTATATTTTTATTATTTTAAGTTTGTTTAATGTTAATTGAATTGTAATCAATTATCTTTAAACTTCAATTTTTCTTTTTTTATGCATGTTTAATCCGGATTGGGCTGTAATTGATTTATAAAAATGTATTTAAGAATTCTATGGGAAGAAATTGAATATTTTATCATTTCAATAATCAAATTAAGAACATATGATTTCTCTTTTTCTATCACAATTTTCTATTTGACCTACTTTTTTTATCACTTAGTACAAGATCATTAAGTTAGCTTTCACCAATAGCTGAACAATTTGTGATGGTCATAAATAACGAGATTGCGGTAGTAGAGAATGTAAAATCACCCTTGAAAAAAAAAATGATCAATTAAGTCAGATATATTTATGCAACATAGAAAATTAAGAATAAGAAGTTAGATCCATAAATTTGAATGACTAGTGATTAAAAGGTAGATCCATATTTAGAATTACAACTTGCGCAAATAAAATTGGACATTAAATTCAAAGAAAGAGTAAAGTTAGAAAACAAATTTAATGACAAGGGGAAAAGAACAATAGTTTTGGGACTTGGATTGTTTCTTTGAGTCAAGTTTGAGGTGATATGGGACCCACCACTAGGACAGTTTTTGAATAAAGGACAACAAAGTGACAGTAGAAAAGTTCAAAGAGTGGTAACCTTCCCTTAAAATCAAATCAGGTGTAACAAGGTTAAGGTTATTAAGTCATCTTCTTGTAAATATTTTGTGCCAAAGCTTAGCTTAACTCAATATTCTGTTTCTAAAGTGGTCATGCAGATAAAATACTCAAATCAATTCTTAAGCAACGACACAACAAAATAAAGAGTAAGAAAAAGGAAAATGGTTCAATTGTTTGAGAAACTGCCATGTAATTTTTTATTTTATTTTTTTGGGGCTAACATTGATAACGTTTTGGTTATTCTTCATACAATAAAGAAATTTGTTTGCAAGTAGTCAATGTGCCTTTGGCTTCCCTCCAAATGGGCTTAAATATTATGATATCATTCACATTGATTTGGTGCATAATATTGAACCCCTAGTATCAATATTTGCCTATCTACCCGCTAATCAGGTCGGAAGCTGATAATTGACTTCAGTCGTGACACAAAATATTACTGGATTGTGTCATCCGCATAATAAATATACTACTTTTAACAAATATGGCACTCTCTAGTACAATACAAACATGATGCAACATTTAATGTTATTAATGAAGTATTTAATGATGGAACATCTTTTGTCAACATAAACATCAACATTAACAATACTTTTATCTCTAACAAGTTGTCATTGTGGAAAAATTACTTTTTTTATTTGGTTTGATATGATGTAGTGGTTAAATTCATGGTGACAGATTATATTTTTTATTATTATGTATGACATAATTGATGACCTAATGGCAAAAATTTAGCCTTGTCCATCAAGCAATTACGGAAAAACAAATAAACAATGGATAAACACAATGTAGTTCAAAACTAAAAGAACCATTGCTATATCTTTTCCTTGGGCATGGTAATATCCAACTTACATAGTTTAAACAATATCATAATCTCTCAATACCCTGTCCCGTTCCGTGCTTTCTAAATCCACTTTTTTCTTTTCGGGAGGCAAAAATACAATCCAAGGAAATATTGAGTACTATCAAAGGAGGACTCTTTGCATGTAATAAAAAAGAAAAAGACTCAGAGACATACTATTATGGACATATAGAAGAAGCCTATATTCTAAAAGGCCTAGGAAATAGTACAAGAGGAAATTAATACAAATTGTTAGAGATATATAAAATTATTAATGTAGCCTCATCCAACAGTTTAAACTTTTGGGTTAAATTTGTTCTTTATGTGGTATCAAAGCCTCAGTGTCCCAGGTTCGATCCTCGCCGCCCCCATTTTCTTTGTGGAATTTCTTAGCACAGGTAGGTTGGGCGGGCCTGATGCATTATCCATCTTTCAAGTCCAGTGGGCTCTCTTGTGAGAGGACATGTTCGAGATATATAAAACTATTAATGTAATTTCACCAAACAACTTAACCTTTTGAGTTGAATTTTGGTTCTTTACACAAATAAAGGAAAGCATGAAGAGTTATCCAAATACGATAGCAACGAACCTGGACATGTGCTCTTAGAAGAGTTATCCAAGATTCATACTTCTTCTAGCCACAGATAAACTCTGTAAATAAATATATGATCATTTTTTCTTTATTACTATTGTAAAGAACCAATTCAACCCAAAAGCTTAAGCGGTTGGGTGAGGTTAACTTAATGTTTTTATATATCTCAACACGCCCTCTCACACGAGAGCCAACTGGGCTCGAAGAGTGGACAAAACACAGACCCACCTACCTGTGCGAACAAAGAAATTCCACTTGAAAGAAAGTGGGGGGCGACGAGGATCGAACCCGGGACACGAGGCTCTAATACCATGTAAAGAACCAATTCAACCCATAAGCTTAAGCTGTTAGGTGAGGGCCTCTTTAATGGTTTTATATATCTCAACACGCCTCCTCACACGAAAGCCCACTGGGCTTAAAGAGTGGACAATGCACAGGCTCACCTACCTGTGCGAACAAAGAAATTCCACTTGAAAGAAAGTGGGGGGCGACGAGGATCGAACCCGGGACACGAGGCTTTGATACCATCTAAAGAACCAATTTAACCCAAAAGCTTAATATCTCAACAACTATTATGTTGTTATTGTGCACACATACCACCCCTTTGACTAACGCCGTTATTATTAGTACAGAGTAATTTGCTAAACTCAAAGATATAATCCATAGATATCTAAGAGAGTTCATGAATCCAAAATCAACACACTAATCTCTTGACTAGATATTTTTGTCACCAGAAGAGAACACATACCATTATAGAGTAGAATAATGTTTTTCACATTCATTTACAATAACATCAATAGTTTTCCCACTTTGCAGTTAGTCTCACCTAAATTTTTGCCATCTATATGAGGAGATGTGACTCCTCCTGATGTCTATCAAGCATTTTTTGCTCATAATATCCTTAACAGAACAATCCTATTACACATTATTACTTTGACCCATCCAAACTATGGCTAGAAAGGGCTCATCATTGTGTTAATTGTTGGGCTTCGTACGGGTAAAGGTGGCCCAAAGTCAACAACAAAGAGGGAAGTGGGACCCACCACTAGGACGTACATTCTTCCCTTAAAATAAAATCAACGCCCACGAAAAAAGTGAAAGGCTATTGGAGGAATATGCTTTCACCGGCCTTATCAAGCAACGTCCAATAACATTCAAAATTAATTTCCCTCTTGCATGTTCTCTTCTCTTGTCCCTTTCTTTTATCTCATCTATCATGGGTGTAACATAGCTATATTTTCCTCAACTTACAAAGACTATAATGTCACCTTCTTGCCATAATTTTGTACCAATGCGTAGCATTAATTAATATTCTCTTTCAAATGTGCTCATGCAGACAAAATACTTGATCAGCTCCTAAGCAAGGACACAATAGAATAAAGAAAATGGTTCAATTGGTTAAGTAGCTGTCATGTGATAGGTTTGCAAGTAGTAAATCAGGCTTTCATTTCCATCCAAATTGGCTTTAAATATTATGATATCATTATCATCAATTTGGTAAATAATGAATAACCACTTCTATCAATCATCTACATAGCTGCTAGCATCTAATCAGGTCGGTTGCCGAAAATTGACTTCAGTCATGACAGACAAAAGATTACTGGTTTATGCCATACACATAAATACACCACTTTTTACCAAATACCTTATTTTGCTAATGATGTTTTGTTCATTGCCAGTTGCATTTATAATGTGTCAGAATTTTCTTAGAATTTTCAGCACCCCCAGATTTATTTATTTTTGTACTTTTGTTGCTGACACTGACAATAACTTTTAATCTTATATCCTGTTGCAAGCGTCAATTTCTATTGTTAGTCTCTCTCACTCCCTCTCTTTGTTTCACTCCAGTTTCATGTCCCCTATATATATATATATATATGTCCAGAACCCCACTCTTATTCCTACTACAACTAATTCCTCTCAAATCCTTCTGATCATTTTTATCTTATTCTTTGTCACATTTCTTGACATTCATCAAAGTCATGAACAAATTTAAGAAATCTCAAGTTCTAGTGCTCTTTGTCCCAGCTCTTCTTCTTGTCTTGACCCCCTTGTTACCTTCCTCTCTAAGGCCTACCTACCTTTACTTCATCTTTAACGTCCTCATCATTGGACTTGGAGCTGAAGCTGGTCTTCTTTCAGCTTTTTCTAATCCTTTTGAAGACACAAAGCAGCATGTTTCTGTTACACAGAAACCTATAATGCCCCCAGAAGTCATAACTGGTGGAAGTGCTGTCTCAGAACATAATGAAAAGAAGCCTAAGGTTGTTGAAAAGTCTGCATCTGAGAAGATTGTTGGTGTCACTAAAGTAGATAAGTTGAAAAAGTGTCCTTCAACGCCAAGCCTTTTGTTCATAGGAGGTGGAGAAGTTGATGGTGAAGTCATGGACGAGGGACTTGAAGCAGAAGATGAGAATGGGGGAGTAAATGGGCAAGAGCTGTTTGTAAAAGCTGAGGCCTTCATTGGGAACTTTTACAAGCAGTTAAAGATGCAGAGAGAGGAATCTTGGTATTATCACAAAGCCTTTTAGGACTGCATTAGCTTTTTCTCTAGAATAAATTATTCTATGGTGTTAAATTAGAAACACTGGTTCTGAGATTCTATTAGTTGGAGGCCAAAGATAAACCATATTATTCTGCTTTGGTGATTTTTCTTCCTCTGGGTCTGTACAGATTTTAATTTGGAATTAGATGTCAGGTCTATTTGCCATGTTCAGTTTGTATTATCATCAGATAAAGTTCCCGTTAAGAAAGATATTTTACTGCGCTATACTATCCTGATGTTGTAAGATATTCAGATATATATTTATATATGGATTCCTGCATGACTATCAATGTTTGACTGGGGTCTATTATATTTTGTAAAGTTGGAGTACAACATGCAATATATAAAATTATATGATATCCATGCATCAACTTTTAACCAATTTTATCTATGATTAATCATACTTTCAACCAACTTTAACCTCTTAATGTAAGTGATTAGCTCAAAGTATAAGGGGTTAATTCAATTACAAATGGCTAGTTTTGATATAGTTATTGAAAAATTATTTTTCATTAACCACTGATGAGTTGAATCAACTACTTAACTTCTAGCAAGTTAAAATAGACTAGTTTTTGGTTAATCAAACACATTATTGGTTAATGTTACGAGTGACATTGATGCAATTAGTTGTAGCTTAGAGTTCACCTATTAAAAAATACATAAAGAATTTTATTTCTTTTATGGCTACTAGAGTTGCTTTCCTATTTTTCTTGAGTCATGTGATGACTGATGAAGGGACTAACTTGTGGGATATCAATATCATATCACAAAAAGCATGTCCGAAATTTTTTTATGCAATTGGATGAATTTTAATCAAAATCATGAAGAAGAACTCTAAAAGTGTTATTTCAATATTTCATACACCAAAAGATTAGGGGCCAGGTAATGTTTGATAGAGCCAGCTACATATAAAGCAAAGAAAGATGAGGAGTGTTTGATTTGACAGAGATCACGCCTTATTTTAATTATACACCTGTCAAGAATCTGTCGCATCCATCTTATCAACTGTGAAGCAAAATAGCTGCTGGCTCAAAAATGTTAATCCCCGTTGCTCTAATTAAGAAGGGGACAGAGTCTTAATCTGATGGGTAGCCATGTAGATGTAGGTGAGGTAAACACAATGTGAGAGATCCAATATCTATAACATAGAGAGAAACATTGTTAATATTAAATTGTACTATATTAATAGATGTTAGACACTCACTGGATGTTTAATATAATTTTTTGTTACAACCTCCTAATATATCAATCAAAGGAATCGAAGTCTACCATCTGTTATGAATGTGGCCTTATGATTATTATCTTATTATGGCCATTTTTTTTACTAGCATGTGGCATTGTGACACAGGCAAGTCATTCCTTATTCACTCGATTTACCCATAGTCCAAAGTCTGCATGCATGTTGCAGTGACCTATATAGAAGTATTAGTATAGCACCAAATTCTTTGCTAAAAATCAAGCATTAGTCCAAACAAGATTGTCTCTTTCTTTCTTTATCTCTCTCTCTTGAAAAGAAAGGCATTGCGTACACATGCTGTGTTGGTGTTTTCTCTTGGGTGCCTGGAATGTTGATTCAGAATTATTATTTTTTATATAATGTTATCTTTTTGGGTTTTATATGTTTTATCTCTCTTATAATTAAGTTTCATATTATTTGTTTATTTTGCTCTAGGTCGGTATGATGATGGGGTACTGCGTCCAAAAAGGAACTGCATATTGTGCAGTTCTCAATTCAACGATTCAGATTCATTTAGCTATGTTGGCAATTGTGTTTTAATTATAGAAATAAAATCAATTTTAATGATTGAGATAGTGTGGTGTTTTCTAAAAATTGTGACAATCTCGATCCGTGATGATGGGGTCATCAATCAAGGTGTAAGATTTTTTTTTTTTTTTTGAATACAAAGGTGTAAGATATTTTTTATTCTCTTTGGAACTAGAAAATTCCATTTCTCTTTTTGATATGTGGCCTTCGTGTGAAGTGAGGGGAGAGGGGTCCATAATATATGCAGACGCTGCTTGTAAAGATCCTGTTCTTACTTTTGATGGTTTATTCCTACCAATATTCTTAACCTCCCTGCATTAACACAAAGGCAAACAAAATTCCATATTAGTTTTATTGTCCCATCTCAAAAACTTTCACAGAATTAAGCTACTATGTCATTTTATGGCAACACTAATTTCCAAAGTAGAGCAAAATATTAACCTTTTCTACTAAACAGTAAGTGAAGGCAAAAGCTTATGCCATAGAGAAATTTCCAAAACAAGTAGGCGTAACTAAGTTCACACATTTTCGTTGTTGTTAGTGGACATGAAGAAGATAACCGCTATGTTACCAAATGATGGTAGCTCAATTGATGTATGAGAGTTGAGCCGGGAGGGAGGGGGAGCATGTGTTCGATCCTCGTCAGTACCATATTTGTGAGAGATTTAAAGCTTTAATGATGGATTTGTCCCGAACTCCAGATTAGTTCATAGGAAACCTATGGGATTACCGGAGGAGAAATCCAAAAAAAAAAAAAAAAAAGATAACCGCTACGTTTCACAGTTTGGCTAAACACATTTTGCACAAATTATGGATATTTTCCATGTAGACGCAATTCTTACATCAAAGATTTGTCCATCCCTTTTCTGAATAGTATAGTTCAAGAATTGAACTCTTACGGTGTTCATCATACATTATTTTATATAACGATGGAGAGTTTGAACTCTATCCATTCCAAGTTTCTAACTCAAAATTGTGTGCATGGAGTAGGAGTCTAAATTAGGAGACGGCAAAGGAGTCATCTTGTGTGCAAGCAGAAGGGAGAAGTCTTGCGTGCGTGTAAAGAGATGAGTCTTGTGTGCAAGCAAAGTCCATTCATTAGTTTTCCCAAAAAAAAATAAAAAATAAGTCCATTGATTAATCTTGCACATATTTCTGGCTAATCATTTCTTGCCTGCTGCACAATGAACACAATTTCTGTTATCTAGATTTTACAACATAAATTAACAATCAGCTTGATAAATTTGAAGTTATTAAAAATTCGAAAATTTATTTAAGCCAAATAACTAGTTGAACCATGGGTTGAATTGACTTAGCCTTGAGGCATGCTTTCCAATTAACTTTCTATATTTTAAAAAGGTCTTGCCTGATTTACTTGTTTAGGCGTTAATTTAATGAGGTTAGAGCAGTGTACTAATTATTTATCCAATGGGATATCATCAAGGTGCACCATTTATTCAGTACGTGTTACTGTCCGGAGAACTCGCCTAAAGGTTATATTACCATGCTTATTGTTAGTAGGTAGCCTACACAACAATGTTAAATTGTTTCTAGGTGGTCCATACAAAGACAATAATTACTTTGCATACGCTCATGGAAACGCCAAATTTCCAGTTATCAAAAATCCGTTGGGAAGTTCACTGCAACTACGGTTAAATTGTGTCATACGAAGTAGCAAAACCACATACTAAGTAACCATTTCCTGTCATGTTGTATTGTAACAACTATGAAGTCTTCCTTCATTGTGGAGGTGAAGGATCTTGTCTTGAAGCTACCACGGGAGATGAGAGACACACTATACAATAATTACAACACAAATCTCACAGACAATAATTACATTCTTGTAAGGCTCGAATCATCAAGGAAGCTGCAGAATTCTCTGCATCTTTCACCCGAGATTTTTCATCCCCAGACATTTGGAGTGCACCATTTATAGTCGCTATCTGAACAGAGCAGACAAATTTCTTTTCATGAGGAGGACCTGCATCTTTCTCAATGCTGTGAACCATTTGCATAGGAGTAAGAAGTTAGTTTACAAGGAGGATCAAAAGCATGACATATGCAACTAAACTGAAAAAACAAATTGAAATTAGCAAGGAAGATCCATTAGTAGTAAAAAATTTGCACCACTAACATATACTAAATCCAATACCCAATACATAAACCAAATGCTCACAATAAAAAGCCAATAAGAAAGCTTGTCTGGCACAGAGACTGTTAGTGACACCGAAACATAATTTCCATTATCTGAAGAGAAAGAATTAAGGATTTTGACAAAATTATTTTAACCTGATTTTAAATTGGGTAAAACACAAGGTAATATTTTTACTGAAAAACTCTGGATTAGTAGTAAAGACACAAGTAAATGAAAACAAAATAATCATGCATGCCATTGCTTGAAAACTGTTCTGCCCAACGAAAGTGAAAATAACAGATAATACCATCATCTTCAGACATTATTGGTTACTCGCACCTCACATTATACTTTTAAATTTGGCTACGAGAGAAAATCAGAAAAAAAGACAATGCACTGTTATATAAATAAATCAGTACTCAAAGTGGTTACCTGTATACTGGTTTGGGCCATTTTTTCATCCCACAAAGCTCGTGTAACTTATGTTTGGCTGCTTCAATCTCAAAGGTACCATCAATGCCAGCACAATAGTTGAGCGTCATAGTACTTACAGGCACCAAATTTGCAAGTTTATCCAAGGCAACCTTAGCAGCGTCAAGCCTAGCAATGTCCTTCTGGTCAGAGGAAGCAGAGGCAACAAATTGTCCATCAACATAGACACTGGCAATGCTTTTGTCTCCATTCCTCCAGTGTTTGATATCAACCTGTTTCCCATTCTTTTGGCAGATCTCGAAGAGCATTGTCACTGGTTGGGGTTGTTGCTCCAAATCATCTGGCGTTACAAAAGGCTCCAAAAGACCTCTAATTATCTGCCAACAACAATTTAGCTAAAGTTTCTCATTTTGAATTTGAACACCTAATAATCAAATCATTAGCATTATGAACTAATTAATAAATAGATTGGTTAGAAAATAAACATACCGCCCATGTTTTTTGTAGGTCAAAATCGAAATCGACATAAACAGCAGCGGCGGCCACAGACTCAACAACATCAGCAAGAACCTTGGGAGCTTTCACCAATCCACCATAGGTGACAAGATCATCCTCTTGAGCCACAACCTCCACAAACTCCTTTACCTTGTGAACAAGAGCGGGGGCGTTATGGCGGACGAAGCGGTGGAAGCCATGGCGGATGGCGACCCGAGCAAGCTTCTCGGTGCTGACATTGGCGGAGCGGAGGAGAGAAAGTTGGCCGGGATCAAGGGTGGGGTAAGCAAGGAACAAGTGACTGATGATGGCCAAGCCCAAAACGGCATCGCCGAGGAGCTCTAGGCGCTCATAGGAGACAGCGTCAGGGAATGAGGAGTGGGTCAGGGCTTCTTCAAGAAGCTTCTTGTTCCTGAAGCTGTACCTAATTATGTTCTCCACCGCAAGCACCGACACTTCCATTTCCGCAGATGGACAAGATGATGTTGTCCTGACGCTACAAAACCTGTCCTATGAATGAAGTAGAATGACTTGTGCACTGATGGTGATGTTATAAGGGATAGTCTAGTGATATGAAAGGAAATTAAGATAAATATTGAAAGAGTATAGTATAATCTTACCTCTTGGAGTTATTCTTGACCCGTTCTTGTAAGGCCCAAATCATAAAGGAAGCTGCAGAGTTCTCTGCATCTTTCACCCGAGATTTTTCATCCCCTGACATTTGGAGTATACCATCTACCGTTGCTATCTGAACAGAGCAGACAAATTTCTTTTCATGAGGAGGACCTGCATCTTTCTCAATGCTGTGAACCATTGCAGTGGAGTAAGTAGTTTACAAGCAAGATCAAACGCTTGACATACACAACTAAACTGAATGAATAAATTGAAATTAACAAGGAAGATCCATAGCTAGTAAAAAAATTGCATCACTAGCATATACTAAATCCAATACCTAATACATCAACCAAATCCACACAATAAAAATCCCATAAGAAAGCTTGTCTGACACATAGACTGTTAGGACACCAAAACACAATTTCCATTATTTGGAGAATTTTTTTTTAAGGATCTTGACAAAATTATACTAACTTGATTTTAAATTGGGCAAAACACAAGTAAAAGGCAAGACTTTTACAGAAAAATGTGAACAAAATATGTAAGCCGAAAACTGTCAGGTGATCTCTTGATTAGTAGCAAAGATTTAGCTAAATGCAAACAAAATAATAATGCAAACCATTGCTTGAAAACTGTTCAGCTCAACGAAAGTGGAAATAACAAATAATACCCTCATCTACATATATATTTTTTTTCTCATTCCCACCCCCACCCCAAAAAACCCCCCTACATTTTACTTTCAAATTTGGCTATGAGAGAAAACCAGAAGACAATGCACTTTTATATATAAACAAATCAAGACTATAAATGGATGTTATTCTTTCGATATGTCATTGCAAAATGCTAGCAGCGGTTTACCTGTATACTGGTTTGGGCCATTTTTTCATCCCACAAAGCTCGTGTAACTTATGTTTGGCTGCTTCAATCTCAAAGGTACCATCAATGCCAGCACAATAGTCAAGCATCATGGTACTTACAGGCACTAAATGTGCTAGTTTATCCAAGGCAACCTTAGCAGCATCAAGCCTTGCAATGTCCTTCTGGTCTGAGGAAGCGGAGGCAACAAATCGTCCATCAACAAACACACTGGCAATGCTTTTCGCTCCTTTTCTCCAATGTTTGATGTCAACCTGTTTCCCATTCTTTTGGCAGATCTCAAAGAGCATTGTCACTGGTTGGGGTTGTTGCTCCAAATCATCTGGCGTCACAAATGGCTCCCAAAGACCTCTAATTATCTGCCAACAATATCTGTTTAGATAAAATTTCTCATTTTGAATTTGAACATTTAATAACCAAATAATTATCATTATGAATTAATTAGTAAATAAAGATTGGTTAAACAAGCATACCACCCATGTTTTTTGAAGGTCAAAATCAACGTCGACGTAGACAGAAGCAGCGACAGATTCAACAATGTCAGCAAGAACCTTGGGTGCTTTCACCGATCCACCATGGGCAACAGGATCATCCTCTTCACTCACAGCCTCCACAAACTCCCTTACCTTGTGAACAAGAGCAGGGGCATTGTGTCGGATGTAGCGGTGGAAGCCATGGCGGATGGTGATGCGAGCAAGCTTCTCAGTGCTGACATTGGCAGCGCGGAGGAGGGAAAGTTGGCCGTGTTCAAGGGTGGGGTAAACAAGGAAGAGGTGGTTGATGATGGTCAGGCCCAAAACGGCATCACCAAGGAGCTCCAAGCGCTGGTACGAGATGGCGTTGGGGAATGAGGGATGGGTCAGGGCTTCTTCTAAAAGCTTCTTGTTCCTGAAGCTGTACCTGAGTATGTTCTCCACCGCAAGCACAGACAATTCCATCTCCGCAGATGGACAACATGGCGACATCCTGATGGTACAGTACCTGTCCAGTCTATGAACAAAATAGGACTAACTCGTTAAATGATGATGATGTTACGGGATATCTGTATGAGGATGAAAGTAAAGTTTCACAAATATTAAAAGAAGTATAGTGTATCCCAATATTACAAAACCCGGCTCAGTCATGATTTCGGGTCACTGGTCCAACCAGTGAGCCACAGATTGAACTGTATGATTCGGATAGATAAATATAAGTCCATATTTTATACTCAAAATTTCAAAAAATCATAAGACAATTTATGAAGCTTCTGAAATAATGGGGACTGTATAAACCTAAACCCACACTCTTAACATTTAGTTTGCACAGAAGAGACCGCCATGTGCTTAGATCGTATTCTTCCCATAAAGGGAACTAGAGATGTAATTGCAAGTAGCTGCCTTGTCTAATAGCATATCAGTGACATAAATTTCTCAGTATTTTAGTTCGTACGACAAAAGGAAATCAAATGGGAGCATACTTTGTATAAGACTACGTATAAGAAGATTACAAGAAACACAGTAAACAGAGTTTCAAACTGAATAACCACCTCAGACAAGCACTCGGATTAATTCAAATTCCACGATAACAAGGTGAAAGAAACAGTTGAGGAGAGATTATACACGGTTGAAAAACACTTTCCGTAGTGCAATATCAGGTGGTGCTGAATCATGTAGTCTCAGCGAGTGCAATAGCTCCCTCACCAATGTTGCATCTACAAAAGATATATATAAAAATAAAAAAATAATTCAAAATAAAAAGGTTAATATTAGGATTGACGAATAAAGGAGGGGTTAGGGTTCTGGAATAAAGAAAACCTGAACCAATGAACCAGGGTCTTGCCTTCACTAAAATTAATCCTTCTTTTAAGCATATTTCGTCCCCAGTTACTCAGCAGAATCGTATCGAAATTCTAGTCTCATTCTGCACCGGTTACTTCAGACTTGTTGGTCCGGTTTTTGCAATATTTATGTTTCTTTTGATATTATTCCTCACCCACAGTTTTATTTGAAGTTTGAATGTTTTTTTTTTTTAAAAGTTTGCCACAAAATTTGATAAAATCTCTTTGATACCAGATTCTTAAATCTCTTAAAGATACGGTCAATATTATGACGCAAAAAAAAAAAAAAAAAAAAAAAAAAAAAAAAAACTTTATCGAAAATATATAATTGGGATAGGATATTGTGACACCCAAGTTATGTTACACCCATGTGACACCCAGTCAATCTCACCGTTAGATGACTTATGTTGATCCAACGCTTATATTTATTTTCATCTTTGTATAGTCATGATTTCCCAAATTTAAAGTGAAATCATTAAATATGGGAAATCATAACCATACAAAGGTAGAAATAAATATAAAATATTAAATTTGAGAAATCATGACCATACAAAGATGGAAATAAATATAACCGTTGGATCAACATAAGTGATCTAACGATGAGATTTACTGGGTGTCACATGGGTGTAACATTACTTGGGTGTCACAATATCCTATCCCTATATAATTTATCTTAAGGTTTCTCTTTTCTCATGTGACCTAAGCTAACATTTTTCATGTCATAAATATAACAAGTGGTGGAATTCATCGTTTGTTAAAAAAGAAAAAGAAAAAATATGAATTTCTATATCTCACTTATCTTTTATTACATAAGAAAATAACTTCTCTTTATCTTATAAAATATTTTTTTTTTTTATATTATCACACTTTTATAAAAGTGAATCAGCCACATCTAGGGGTGAAAGTGGGATGGATTAGGCCAAGCTTTATCCTGAAAAGCCCAAGCCTACGTCAAAAAATTTCAATTTGGCCTGGCCCAAGCCTAGTATGAGTCTAACTGTTAGTCTGGCTTAACCCGTTTATAAAAAATCAAATGGTCTGGCTAGCCCGTTAGCCTGCTAATTTTTAACTTCTAAGCAAAACCATGAATCAACTTTACAACATACTCAAATTATGTTGCTAAACCAAAAATCATAATTTCAACGTCCAAACAGAATCATGAATAACAACAAAACTCATACAATCTGCATTTAAGTCAATTTCAAAAGCAAATTGCTCAAACTAAATAATATATATTTCATCAGATCCAACATACAAATCCATACTATGTAAATTAAAATAACCACATGAATCCAACAAACACATCATGATGCTTATAGTAAGTATAACATCTCCCAAAAACCTTTTAATATATTCATATACACAATCTAACATCCGCTGAATGCATTCTTGGGGAGGGGGCTGAACCTTTAGCCATCACTGTTCCCCCGCACTCCGAATTAGTCCCATAGCAGGCTCAAAGAGTCGAAGCTCGTGGGGATACCGGAGGGAGCCAACTCGTCTCAAAGAGATAATTAGGGTTGGGTAACTCCAAAAAAAGATATCGGTTCCTCCTACATAATTAAATTATAAATAATCGCAATTGATTAAATTTATATCTTTTGTTTTTTCTTACGGTCATACTTATTCTATTTTATTTTATTTTATTTTATTTAAAATAAATAGTGCAATATAGGCCGGCCTGTAGGCTTATAGGCCAGGCTTTGTGAAAGTGAGCATACGGCCTTTTTATTAAACAAGCTTTTTCAAGGCCCAAGCTCAGCCTATTTTACAAAATATACTAGGTCAGGTCTGGCCTGACGTAGACCGAGCCATAGGGCCCCTGTAGGCCGGCCCGGCCCAGTTTCACCCCTAGCCACATCATACAAAAGAAGAGAGAAGAAATAAATAGGAATTCATAATTGAATGTTGAATAAAAAAAATCAACAGTAGAAATAAAATATTTTTTTTTTGGATAACATCCGGGTATCCTCACAGCCGATAGCCATGAGACTAATCATTCATCCCAAGTCAGCGCACTAAGCGGTAAAGAGCTGACCACGAAATTCTTTTCCTTCACAAGAGTTGGGGTTCGAACCCCCAACCACTCGCTTAAGGGACGAGATGTTGAACCATCACACCCACTACGTGGTTTAGAAATAAAAACATTAAAACCTCAATTTTAATGCATTAAATGCTTCTCATTCTCAATCATTTATTATTGTTAATTTTTTTTTGGGTACACTTTCATTTAATATTCTTCTCATTCAATAAACTAGTGTGTTGCATAAATTAAGCAGAGAATGAAATTTACCAAAAGATTAAAAATATATGGCGGAAGAATTTTTATTTAAAATAGTTATTATTATCTTTCATTATTGTTTCGTTTAGATAATTAATATATCATATCTTGTAGAATTTAAAATGTTTTATAATGAAATTAAATCTATCAATAATAAGAGATAATTAGATATTTATTTGAATGAACAGCAATTTGATTCCGAATTTCCGATAACAATTAAGATATTGATGTATTTAATTATTGGAAGATTAATAAAAAAGATTATTTCATTTTTACCTGCATTAGGGAGAATACAAAATATATGTAGATGAGGGTATTATTTGTTATTTTCACTTTCGTTGAGCTCAACAGTTTTCAAGCAATGGCTTATATTATTCTTTTGTTTTCACCTATGTAGCACCGACACGACACGCGATACATGACACGACACGTCAATCTTAAAAAATTATGAATTTTGACACATTGGGATACGTTTTAATATTAAATAATATTTTTAATTTATATAGTGTATATTTCATTTAATATTTAATAATTTTAAAAAAATGAAACTAAATTAATAATACCCATCAACACATTATAAAGATGGAAGTTTTAATAAAAAATAAGAACTGGGATGAGATATATATATAATATCGATAGAGAGATCAAATCATATTAGAGAGAGATCAGAGAGAAGGAGATACAACAAGAGCATAATAGGAATTGACAACAATGATGCTAGATGATATCTTATATACTTAAGGGGGAAAAAGACAAAAAAAATAAAATTGATATGATCAGGTGGAAGCTTTATTAATATATTTTGATTTTTTTTTAAAAATTAAAAAAAAAATATAAAAAAATTACGAAAATGCCATTGGACCGTGTCAGACACGGTCGAATTCGCGTGTCGGAATAATCAACGTGTCGAAAAAAGTCAACTGCGTGTCCGACACCGTATCGGAGCGTGTCGGACACGACTCTTCCTGTTTTTACAAGTGTCCGTGCTTCCTTGGTTTTCACTTCCTAAATCTTTACTACTAATCAAGAGGGGACATTTACTCTACTACTACAAAAATATATATAATATATCATAATGCTTTTGAAAAAATACATCAAACTGTTACGACACCATAGTTACTGAATTATGTAGTGACTATGGAAGGCACATGTTAGCCATACAGATGCGTAAGAAGCTTGGTTCCACTTGAGTATACCAAATTACTTTCTCATAGTAGCACACAAAATCAGCTACTTTACCATAGTAGCTACCCTATATAGCTACTTTGGCCCAACTTTTCTCGTTTTTTTTGGGATAATTCTACCATAATTACTACCTATTTTAACTACTTTGGTCAAGTGCCTTTGAAATTTAATAATCCACAAGAAAGAGGGATGTCGTTAATAAATTACTGGACCTCTATTTTAAATATTTTATCTACTCTTAAATAAAAAAGTTTAATATTAACATCACTAATGGATAGTAAACTCATGTTATTTAATGGAAATCAAACATAAAATTTTATAATAAGAATGTTAAAATGAAAATATAAAAAAAATTATTAACCTTTTTATATAAGTAATAACACATCTCTACAATTATGGTGTACATTAATGATAAATAAATAAATATTTATTAGTATTTTAATATATTAATAATATTTTATAATATAATTTTTTAATTTTTATATATGTTTTAACTCAATTTTTGTAAAACATTATAGTTTATAACTCATTTTTCATATTAAAACATATATAAAAATTAAAAAATTATATATTAAAAAATTAATAAATATCTATTTATTTTTCATTAATGTACACCATAAACGTAGAGATGTGCTATTACTTATATAAAAACGTTAATAATTTAATTTTTTGATATTTTAATTTTAACATCTTATTGTAAAATTTTATGTTTGATTTCCATGAAATAACATGAGTTTACTATCTATTAGTGATGTTAATATTAAATTTTTATTTAAGAATAGATAAAATATTTAAAATAGAGGGTCCAGTAATTTATTAGTGGCTTTCTTATTTATGGATTATTAAACTAGGAGAAAGACATTTGACCAAAGTTATTGAAATAGGTAGCGACTATGGTAGAATTGTCTCACAAGGCCAATGTAGCTACATAGGGTAGCTACTAGCTACTATCAGCAACTATCGAAAAATAATGGACAGGTGTCACAATTTAACCAAAGTTGCTGCATAGAACAGCGACTTTGGTATACTCAGGCCAACCCAAGCTTTCTTACGCATATGTATGGCTAACACGTGGCCTTCCATAGACGCTACATAACTTAGCGACTATGGTGTCGTGACAATTTAGAGTATTTTTTCAAACATGTAGCATTATGGTATATTATATATATTTTTGTGATAGCAAGGTCAATATCCCAATCAAGAGATCACTTGACAGTTTTAGATTGTAAATTGGGAAAAACACAAGTAAAAAAGCAAGACTTTTAAGGAGCATTTGATAGAGGAAAAAAAAAATTATCCGAAAAAAACATTTTTTTAAGAAAAAAAAATTTCACCTCTTACCAAACACCGCCTTACATAAGAATGTGAACAAAATTTGTTCCCGAAGCTTCTTCTAAGCTTCTCGTACCTGATTATGTTCACCCCAAGCACAGACAATTCCATCTCCGCATATGGACAAGATGACGACATCCTGACAGTACAGTACCTGTTCGGTCTATGAACAAAATGGGACTAACTCGTTAAATGATGCTGATGTTACAGGTACATTTTTTTTTTTGTACACTTTCATTTAATATTCTTCTCATTCAATAAACTAGTGTGTTGCATAAATGATGCGGAGAACGAAATTAGCCCAAAAGATTAAAAATATATG